TCAACATGCCAATTGCACGCTCCCTCAAAACTTGCGACATTTGTGTTATTGTGATGTGTGATAAAACTGCACATTTTAGAGTGGCCTTTTATTGTGGCCAGCCTAAGGCACACCTGTGCAATAATCATGCTGTCTAATCAGCATCTTGATATGCCACACCTGTGAGGTGGATGGATTGTCTCGGCAAAGGAGAAGTGCTCACTAACACAGATTTAGACAGATTTGTAAACAGTATTTGAGAGAAATAGGCCTTTTGTGTACATAGAAAAAGTTTTAGATCTTTGAGCTCAGCTCATGAAAAATGAGGGCAAAAACAAAAGTGTTGCGTTTATAATTTTGTTCAGTATGTGTGTGTGTGTGTGTGTGTATATATATATATATGTGTATATGTGTGTGTGTGTTTGTTTCATGAGCCTGTTACATTATCACTATACAGGACTTGTTGGAAAGGTGAAAGAGGTATTATCTGAATAGAGAGCATTTTCAGGGGCTGTTCACACAGAACACGTAATGAATCAGAATGAGCCATGCTAGTAAAAAAAAATAAAAAAATAACTTGATATTAAGGTAATTGCAACATTTTAAATCATAATTGCAATCTCATATTGGAAGTTTATATCTTGCAGTTAAGACCTATTCTTTCTCAGAGTTGTGAGGTTTTAACCAGTTCTGACTTTTCTCACAATCTGAATTACAACTCACAATTTTGACATGACATCTTTGAGTTTATTGATTTTAAGGAGCAGCAGATTTCTTAAACAAAATATGCATTTTGTGATCAATTTATTTTGTCCAAGAAATGTTTTGGTGCATTTGCTCTTGTATGGTTCCAGCAGACTGGACCCTAATTATAATTCTCAGAAGTACTGTAAGAAGACTTGATGTCTTGAGGTCCTACTTCAATGAGGAATTCCTTAGCTCCCTCAAGGTCTTCTGGAGGTCCAGCCTCACAGTCATGAAGTGCTCTCCTCACACTGCACAGCTGTTTTTGTATCTGCTGCTGGAGCGGTGACAGTGAATTCTGACAAAGATAAGCAAAACACAGTTTAATTATAGTATCTCAGTTCATCCAGTCAAAAAGTGCAGTTCACTAAATGTAGGACTTTTGAGACATTTAGAAACTTACTTTTATATGATCAACAAGATCCTGAGTCAGTTTGATGGCAAGACATTTAATAGTCACTTTATCCTCTTCCAAGAGGCATCTGTAGAAAAAGAGAAGGCACTTTTTGCAAGGTGGCTTATTTTAGTTCATTTACTGTTGATAGAAAAGAAAAATATAATGGCCAAAGTGAACATCACACACACACACACACACACACACACACACACGCATACATAAAAAACACTGTTTAACACATATCATAAAAAAAAAAAAATCACAATATCATTAGGTTTTGAGGGAGTTTTACCATATAACATTTACACTCTGAACTAACCCTGCCTCATGTAAGTCTTATACGTGTATGTATATATATACAGGTGCATCTCAATAAATTAGAATGT